CTAGAGTACCTTTTGGCGCTCCGCCGGGGAAAGGTCAAGAACCCCTCACAATCACCACGATCGGAGCCGGAGACAATCACCACCTCCGCTCGACGATCCTCGCTGCTCCAAGCCGTCTAGGTGGTGGCAACCACCAAGAGTAACAAGCAAAATCCGCAGCGAAACACGATCACTAAGTGCCTCTAGATGCAATCACTCAAGCAATGCACTTGGATCACTCCCAATCTCACTATGATGATGAGTCAATGATGTAGATGAGTGGGAGGGCTTTAGCTAGGCTCACAAGGTTGCTATGTCAATGAAAATGTGCAAGAGTGCTCCCTTGAGCCGGCCATGGGGCTATAAATAGAGCCCTAATCAAATAGAGCCGTTATACCCCTTCATTGGGCAAAACGCGCTCTGACCGAACGCTCCGGTCATACTGACCGGACGCTGGCCCTCAGCGTCTAGTCGCCCGATGGACGCCACGCGTCACCAGCTTCAAACGCTGTTCGTCAGATTTCAACGGCTGCGAAGCTGACCAGACGCTCCGGTAAAACTGACCGGACGCTGAAGCCCCAGCGTCCGGTCGTTTCCAGTAAGCTCCCCGAGGCATGTTTTTTCGACCGGACGCGTCCGGTCCACCTTGACCGGACGCAGCCAGCGTCCGGTGCTCAACCCTAGCCATCAGGTTGCTCGACAAATTTCGACCGGACGTAGCCTTTCAGCGTCCGATCACTGAGTGACCTAGCGTCCGGTCAGTAGACCGACGCCAGCATCATTTCGATCAACTCCATTTCAACTCTTACTTTTTCACCCTTGCTCAAGTGTGCCAACCACCAAGAATTTTGCATCCGGCGTAATAGAAAATAGACATTTCATTTTCCCGAAAGCGCCGAATCCCGCCTCGCAAGCTCGACGGGAGGGAGAGAGGGACCCAAACCCATCTCAACCCTACAAACACCTTGTGCACATGTGGTAGCATATTTACACAAATATTATCAAGGGTGTTAGCACTCCACCGGGATCCTAAATGCATATGCAATGAGTTAGAGTATCTAGTGGCACTTTGATAACCGCATTCGATACGAAGTTTCACCCTCTTAATAGTACGGCTATCAAACCTAAATGTGATCACACTCTCTAAGTGTCTTGATCACCAAAATAAAATAGCTCCTACAAGTTATATATTTGCCTTGAGCTTTTGTTTTTCTCTTTTCTTCTCTTTCAAGTTTAAGCCCTTGATCATCTCCATGCTATCACCATTGTCATGTTATGATCTTCATTTGCTTCTCTACTTGAAGTGTGCTACCTATCTCATGATCACTTGATGAACTAGGTTAGCACTTAGGGTTTCATCAATTTACCAAAACCAAACTAGAGCTTTTCAACAGAGGACGCATGCGGCTTACGTTCGACCACCGACCATGGCGGGCTTTGATACTGGCGCGAAAGCGGCAAGATCTTGAGGAAGGAGCGGCAAAGTGAGTGGGGGAAAGCGTGGGGCACTCTGGCGCACATTATGGAGGAGCAGGGCATAAGGAGGCGCGCGACACTGAGGTGGGACGCACGTCGGCCATGGCGGAGCGCACTTGGTGCATGGCGGCCACGCAGGCAAACCGTCGAGCACGTGGCGAGCGTTGGTGTGGGCGAGGTGGGGAGCCGATTTGGGCCACATCCAGGCCGAATCAGACTTTGGGCCAAAATTGAAGTTTGTTCACCTCGGCCTGCTCTACATTTTTCATTAAGGCACTCCAGTCATTTGAGCAACATAACCATGGGTAATTTAATCTCCAAAGTGGCATTGTCAGTGCATTGACGGCGATTAACAAACTCCAAAATTGAGGGTCATAACAAGGTCAAACGAGTGCCATCCTTTTACATGATCTTCTCCATGAACTTAGCTCCAACTTTTATTTTGGGGTCAACTTGAGATGCTTAACGAATTTCAGAGAACGCGAGACGCCAATGCCGAGGTCGATGAATTTCTAGACTTAGAATATTTCTAAGTGGTGAAATCAGCAGCAGGTTCCAACTTTGAGCCACGGCTAGACTTGGTTCCGAGCCAATCCATGGTATACTCTAAAAAACAAAGTTTCTTCTACATAACATGAGCTTCAACTTTTATTTAATGTCCAACTTCAAAACTTGTATAAAACCTATAGTTCTACTTTGACCAAAGTAGGATCATGATAAAGCTTAGATTATCCTTTTTGATCTATTGGAGCATTTTCTTGGCATTTGCCCAACATAAACCTTTCATGACTTTTGTTGTAGAGTTCATCTAGAGTCATTTGGGCAAGGTTGCAAGGTTTGGTTGATGACCTATATTTCCATTCACTTAATAGTGCAATTCAAGTACTTAGTAAAGTCATTCCAATAAGGATATAACTTATCATTTCATGTGACTTTTTGATTCCAAACTTTATGAAACTTTTCTAGCGATCAATATAGATGGATATTGATGTGAGACACATGAAGATATTCCAATAACACCAGCCAAGCATATATCCTGAAAAGGGCCTATATGTAAAGCAAGGGTGCAATATCCGAGTTTAGGTTGGGGCTCATTTCCAAAGGTTTAACCTTGACATCTTCATCGACACTTAATCTGTCATGTTTGAGCTCAAACCCACAGCTTAACTGGTGACCAGCACCTGGGGTGTTACACTCTCAACATCAATGGTGCTGGTGCAAGCATTTTATTCATTACGCCGACCAAGGATAAGCTCCGATATGTTCTCCGGATACATTTTTTGGCCTCCAACAACGCCGCCGAGTATGAAGCATGTCTCCATGGACTCCGTATAGCCGTTGAGCTCAGCGTTAAACGCATCATGGTATACGGGGACTCCGCACTGGTCATCAACCAGCTCAATAAAGACTGGTCTTGCTCCAGTGAGAAGATGGATGCATATTGCGCCGAAATCAGGAAGCTTGAAGGAGATAGAGGGGCTTTCCTTTCCATATGGATGCAGGTGGATGCAGCATCCGTGGACCACGCACGAGTCCAAGCATTGGGCCACGCCGGGTGCGCACTTTTGGCCTGGAGCGAGTGATACATGTGTGCCAATAGGCAGAGTATATAGCAGGATATAGGGGGCCCTAGTTGTCGACCTGGGTGACAGGGAGCTGACTCCCTCCCCTTCGATAAAAATAAATTCCTCTCCACCTATGCACCAAATTGTGTCCACTTCAATTGTATTCTTGGGCCAAACATCAGACCATACAACAAGCATGCACTAAAAGCCGAAATTGATGATATCAGCATATATCCCATACTTTTTGTTGTAAAAAAGTCATATCTCCTAAAGTATCCTAATTAAAATCTGATTGCACCATCGTGTTTCTTGCAATAAACTCTTAAAAACAAGATCCCATATAGATATATTTCGATAAAAAAATTTAACGATCATTTATCTCATAATGAACCCGTATTTAAAGATAATCATCGAACATGACATCAACACTATACGAACATCGCAGAAAATAGCATAGTACATCCTATGTATACTACGCGAACATCATATATATATATATCATGAAATATAAAAAATAAAAAATAAAAAAATAGTGAAGTAATTAATTATAGTCGAATAAAAAGAAGAAAAATGCTATCGAACATCACAAAATACATCATAGAACATCATATTAACACTATACGAACATCACTAAATATAGCATAGAACACCACATGTATATTACGTGAACATCACATAATACATCATAGAACGTCGTATGTATACTACGTGAATATCGCATGCATACCGCGTGAACATCATAAAATACATCATAGAACATCGCATGTATACTACGTAAACATGACAATTTAAATCATAGAACATCGCATGTATACTACGTGAACATCACATGTATACTACATAAACATCGCATGCATACTGCGTGAACATCATAAAATACATCATAGAACATCGCATGTATACTACGTAAACATGACAATTTAAATCATAGAACATCGCATGTATACTACGTAAACATAGCAATTTAAATCATAGAACATCACTAGTATACTACGTGAACATCACGTGTATCTAGAAATAAAAGAGTAAAAGATAAAATTATTAAAGTAATTAATTAGAGTAAAGTTACAAAAAATATAAATAAAACATAAATAACAAATGCTAAACATATAGAAAAATAATTAAATAACTTAAATAAGAAAAAGAAAATTGAAAATTAAAAAGATCACATGCATACTATGAAACATTGAATATATCTCATGTAACATATGAAATGAAAAGAAGAAAATAAAAACTAAAGCATGAAAATGGTTAGAATAAAAAATAATTAGAGTAAAATAAAAATAAAAAATAAAAACCAAAATGAATAATCTACATGAAAACATAAAAATAGAAAAGACAAGTAAATAGAAGAAAAGAAAAGAAAAAAGAAAAAAAACATGACAACTGAAAATAAAATAAAAAATTATTTATTAGGGAAAAAGGAAATTAATAAAAAAATAAAAAGTAGAAAAAAATGAAAAGAAGAACAAAAGGCCACGTATAAAAGAAAAAAGAAAAAAAGAAAGAAAAAAAGAAAAGACATAACGCACAAAGGAAATAAAAGAAAAATAAAAAATAAAAAGAAGGAGAAGACAACATTGAGAAAAGGATAAAAATAGAAAGAAAAAAAAAAAGAAGACAAACTCACCTACCAAAGGTGCCTATGGAACCACGACGCAGATCGGAAAACGTGGCAACAGTGCCGACCGGCCATCACGGTGCAGATCGCTCGCTGTATGTGGGCCGCGGCCTGGGCCACTCGCTCCTTTGGGCCGCTTCCACGACGCGTGGCGGACATAAATAGATGGTCGACGCGCTAGCCCCCTGCCCAACACCAACACGGTGCGTGGAGCTGCCAAAGAAAGCAGAGGAGAGGAGGAGCTGAATATTTTAGCGTCGGAGGGGATTGATTGATCGGTCGTCATCCGCTTCGTCCCCGGCGGTAGCTCCTTCTCGATTCCTTAATCCTCTCTCTCGCCGGCCGGCGCGCCCGCCCACATGGTACGTCCCCCTGCCTGCCCTTTTCTCTTCGATCGATTCCAGGCTGTACTACCGCCGTGGGCTCTCCTCCCCACTTCGGCCCCCGCCGGCGCCGGCGACGGCGCGGGCGCGGCGCGGTCAATCCGCCGCCTTTGGTCGAATAAATACATAAAGCTAATTAAGATTCCCGGACGTCACCTGGCGAGTCGTGTGTGGCCTTCAGTTCCCCCTCGATCGCTAGCTTGCTTAGCTTTTAAGACTTTCGCTAATCGTTAAAGATAGGAAGAAAGAGAAAGAGAAAAAAAAGGTTCCGTTTACACAAGAACCGGTAATGCGCGGCTGGCGTGCTCCGTTACGTACGCCGCCGCCCTCGCATTTTAAGCCTATCCGTCCATGCACCTTTCCGCCGCCCTCGACTGCTCAGGGTGTCAGGGGGCAATCCCGGCCCGGCCGCCGACTGCATCTGGTGCGCGCTCGAGATCGGTCGATCGAGCACTCTCTGCTCGCCGCCGTCGCCGTCGCATGCATGCCGGGAAGGAAATCAACGAACAAAAACATATATGCTTGTTTTGTTTCGTTTTATATGTATGTATGCATATACATAATTTCCTTGATTGATTGACAGGAAACATGCCCATTTCCATATGTATTGCCATTTTTTTTTTCTTTCCCGTGATTGCGGCCATGGCCATGCATGCCACGCCCCTTTTCTTTTCACAAGCAAGGAAGAAGAAGTTTGCAAGATTTCTTTTACTGGAGCGTATCGGTCAGCGCACCCGGGCCGGCCGGGGGCGGGGCGGGCGGGGCGTTTCTGGAACGGACGGCGCGGCGCCCGGGCCGGCGGTCGGTCCCCTTGTCGTAGCCGTTTCTACATCGATCGCCTCGGAGCAAGAGACAACAAAATTCTATTTCGCCCTGTTTGTTTGTTTGTTTATTATTACTCCGTACTCTGCCGTTTGGAACCTCCGCACGCAGCCACGTACTGCCAAATCTGACGCCGCCCGCTCCCAGCTCCGTTCCGAAACCTCCTCGTATAGCCCGTTCTGCTCGGCTGCACTCGCCAGTGTCAGCGTCTCGATCAGCGGCGCGCCGGCACGCTGTCCGCAGACTCTGCAGGCATGCGGGAGCGTGCCGGCCTCCGTCTCTGCATGCCGCCGTCGCGTTCGTTTGCACCCTGACAAATGCTGGCCGACGTTACCGTCCAGTCCATTTTGATGTCTTGTCTGCTAAGAATTCTCATAAGATAACAAACCTTCTCTTTTTGAAGAAAAAAAAGGAGATGTTATTTAACCTGACGAATTTAACGTTGTGTCTGACTATGCAGGTGGAATCGGAGGGCGAGGCGGAGGTGGCGGCGTGCACGGCGGTGCTGACGCCGCCGCTGTCGCTGGAGGGCGGCCTCGCGGCGGAGCTCCGCCCGGCCAACCTCGTCCAGCGGGTGCTCAGCCTCTTCCTCAACGTCCGCCCGGGCTCTGACCTCTCCCACTTCCAGGTACGTGCCACCACTTACTAATTTAGGCGTCCTGACTGTGACGTTCGTTTCCATATAATATGGCATCAACTGTAGGAGGAAAACATCGTTTCACTGTAATTTGACTTATGCTGATTCGTCGTCAGAGAAAAATACTATTTCTTTGCTAAAAGGTATTGCTGAAGTAGTTCGAGCGAACAAGGCCCAAATCACTTAGTTACCTACTAGCGTAGCAGGTTTTAAGTCCTGGTCAGTAGGTAGAGCATGCTGTAACCAACAAGCACAGTTTTAAGTCCTGGTCAGTAGGTAGAGCATGCTGTAACCAACAAGCACAAGTTTATCAGTTTGCGCGTCTGACTTTGAATTTGGACGTGAAGTGATCATTGTTCCTTCTCTCATGATTCCATTTCCATCCATCTGACCCACCCTACTTCGGTTGCGGACAAGGACTCCTCAACCCGAACGTTTGATTCGAATTTTCTATTTTTATATAAAATATACAATACATTAAAATGTGTCTGAAGGGACGAATGAATGAAACTCAAAACACGTTTGGGATTAATTTCCAGCTGCCGGCGACGTTCAACCTGCCCAAGTCGCAGCTACAGCTATACGGCGAGGGGGTGTACTGCGCCGGCGAGGACCTGCTGGGCCGGTGCGCGCGTGGGGCGGACAGCCTGGAGCGCCTCGCCGCCGTGGTGGCGTGGAGCATCTCCACGACGCGGCCGCCCATCTTCGGCTTCGCGCCCTACAACCCGGTGCTCGGGGAGACCCACCACGTCTCCACCTCCGGCAGCAGCGGCCTCAACGTCCTGCTCGAGCAGGTCTCGCACCGCCCTCCCGTGACGGCTTTGCACGCGACGGACGCGCGCGGTGACGTCCGCCTCGTGTGGTGCCAGAGCCCGGCGCCGCGGTTCCACGGTGCGAGCGTGGAGGCCGCGGTGCGCGGCGCGCGGGAGCTGCGGCTGCCCCGGCACGGCGAGACGTACGTCGTGGGGTGCCCCAACCTGGTGATCCGCCTCCTCCCGTCCCCCGGCGTCGACTGGGCCGGCGACGTCCGCGTCGTCTGCGCCGAGTCCGGGCTCGAGGCCGCGCTCAGCTACTGCCGGACCCGCCGCTCGTTCCTCGGGTTCGGCGGCGGCGACGCCCGGTGCGTCAGGGGCAGGATCTTTCGGTCTGCCGCGCCTGAGGAGACGCTGTGCGAGGTCGATGGGTTCTGGGACCGGCAGGTCTCGATCAAGGACGTCGCTACTGGTGAGGTCTCCGTGCTCTACGACGCACAGCGCGCCACTGGTAACCTCGCCACGCCCGTCGTACAAGACCCAAAGGTAGGAGAGGACACGACTGTTAACTAATTATTGCAGGCTCTGCCTCTAATGCTGATTGAGATTGATGATGAACATGCATGTTATCGATCGATCGTGTCACTGTCACAGGGCGTGTCGGCCTCGGAGTCCGCGGTGGTCTGGGGCGAGGTGAGCGACGCGATCCTGAAGAAGGACTGGGAGACAGCCCGGCAAGCGAAGCGGCGAGTGGAGGACACGGCGAGGAGGCTCGCCAAGGAGAGGAACGACAGGGGGGAGGTGTGGACGCCCAAGCACTTCTCGCTGTCGCAGAACAAAGACGGCGACTGGGAGTGCTGGCCGCTGGAGGAGACGGTGCCGCCGGCGCCTATTATCGTCCCCTCCTCCTCATCCTCCTCATGACACTACTAGTAGATCACTAGTACTACTTGTTGAGATTTCACTGATGATATACGACGAACGAAGCTGAATGAAGAATCTCATTGAATCTATATATCTTTGTTCTTCGTCGGCTTGAGAATCGTGTGATGCATGGTAGCCACGATTTCTTCAGGGACGGCTTTCTGATGACGGATCGGCGGCAAATGAACATTCAGGAAACAAAGTGGGCTCTGAAAAAAATCTATGAATCCACCACACAAAAGTGACAAAACAATGCAGAAACAATTTTTTTTTATCATGGAACAAACGATGAACAGCGTGTTTTATTTAATCTACATAAACGGATCCAGTCTGTACAAGTTTCCGTCTCAACTGGGCATGGCGGATGATTTTACCACTGCTATAGGGAGTTAGGGACTACTGTCAGCGAATCCTGTAGGGAAGTAACTACTACCGTCAGTGAATCCTACAAGAGCTTCATCTTCATGGCGAGGGAGGGTGATCAGACTTCAGAGGACGAACAAGAGCACTGCAGGCAGAGGCAGCAGAAGCCACAGCTGATCGTGTAGCGTGCTCGCTAGTGACATCGTCATCCACGGCTGCTGGTAGCTACCTCCAGCACCGTCGTTGTCAGTCGGAGGCGGCTGCAGATTGGTGCTTCCGACGCCACCGTTGCCAGTAGCAGGAGGCGCCTGGCCGGTGGCACCGTCGCCACCGTTATCAGTAGCAGGAGGCGCCTGGCCGGTGGTTCCGCCGCCACCGTTGTCAGTTGAAGGTGGCGCCTGGTTGGCGCTTCCGATGCCATTGCCAACAGTAGGAGACGGCGGCGGCGTGCTGTCAGCAGCACCAACGCTGCCGCCACTGGTGCTTTGCCCATTTGCCGGCGGCGAAACGAGGGGATTGGCGTCAGAGTCGTGCAACCTGCGCGAACAGACAAGGATATGAATTCTGATCGCCGAGCAAAGTTGACCAGATCGAAACACATTTCAGTGCGTGTGGATTCGGTAAAGTTAAATGTGTGGATTCCGATCGGTGATAAGTGTGGCGAGATTACCCGGAGGGAGGGAGGCAGAAGGCGATGGTGTAGCCGGCGGCGCTGTGGCAGGTGAAGGTGCTGGAGCGGTCGTCGTAGGCGTAGCTGTACGCGCGCGGGCACGCCGACTTGAACACGGACGAGTAGGCCGTCGGGCGGCACGCTGTCGGCGTCGCGTACGCGCCGCTGCAGCAGTACTGGTCCTTATTAGAATTGGTTAAATGAGATAACCTCTCGGTATCTCGGCTACGTGTTATATAGACAAGGAAGAGCCCTTTGCGTGGCTTACAATAGTCAGGTGATTTGTGGTTACAACCAATCCTCCACAAATCACTCTCAATCACATATACATTCCTATAACTGTGGTACAATGTACCTAGACTATCACATACTCTAATACCCCTCCTCAATCTCAGCCACTAACAAGGTTGAGATTGTGCCGAAATGTCTTCATCTTGGGAGTCGCCAGTGGCTTAGTAAATCCATCTGCTAGTTGATCACTTGTATGTATATATCTTATATCAAGTAATTTTTGAGCTACTCTTTCACGAACAAAATGAAAGTCGATCTCAATATGCTTTGTTCTTGCATGAAACACTGGGTTAGCTGACAGATATCGTGCACCAATGTTGTCACACCACAACCTGGCCACTGGCTGGTGTGCTATCTTGAGTTCATCAAGAAGTTTTTGAATCCACATGAGTTCGGCAGTTGCATTTGCTAGAGACTTGTACTCGGCTTCAGTGCTGGACCTTGACACCGTTGGCTGTTTCTTGGAGCTCCAGGAGATGGGTACAGGCCCGATCTTCCGAGAGGTAGCCGGTAAGTTCGATATGTGGAGATCTCGACGTTGGCGATCCGGCTTCAAATCAGACGCGATTCGAACCCTGCAACCGTTACACCACTGCTCCGTTGGTTATCAACCAAGCACAACTTGATTGACCTCGCCAAGAAGGCTTTTCCTGCAAGCGAATCGAAGAGCACAAGCAAGAAGGTAAAACACGCAATCTGATATTGCAAATATGAATGACGCGAATATCAATAGAGGGTTCAAGAACTTCGGTTCCAAAGGACTAATCGACACGATGGAGGAGATCGAGAACGGGGCCCCGGATCATTTGTAAAAAGGATTTGTCACCACGATTACAATGAACGATTCGGTTTCTCGATGGAAAACTAAACTCTAAACAAAAACCCAATTGTGTAGCAGCGGTGGCGGCTGTGTTTATAGTCTAAGACTCGACCTAGGGTTGGGGGCGGCCAGGGGTTACGCCCACAACTTGGGCTTAAGGCCCGACACGATACATGGCCAAGTTGGCCCAAATAGGTGACGCAGCACCTTGCCGTGGTCACACAGAATGATCCACAGACCTTCTGGAGCTGGGACCAGATCCAAAACGACGGCGTCGTCGTCCCTTTTCAACGCATCCAAGAACGGCCCGTTTCGGCGTCGTATGAGGAAGTTATGACCGAAACAGGACGACGTGTCTCTGCTGAATCCGAGGGTGACGTGGCAGCTGAGTTGGAAACGAATTGCAACTTGGGGAAGACCATGGCGTCGGTGTGTCCAGCGTGGCGATGTCCTCATCATCCTCCCTTCTCGAATTGGAGTCGTCCCTCGACTCCATCTTGGCGATGTCCTCATCATCCCTCCTTGTAGAATTGGAGTCGTCCTCGACTCCATCCCATCATCAGCGAACTCCTGCAAAAGATTAGTGACAGCAGGCAATGCACCAGACATAAAAGGTTGACAAAACATAGTATAACATGGTGCATCAAGATTATGACATAACTCAGCAGTAGCAGGAGTTGTAGCAAGAAAAGCACCTCCTTTTAACTTAATCCCATTATTTTTAGCAATGTCATTGGAGGTTTATTTTTGATCTCATTAGCATGTTTAATAATATCCGTAGGAGACAAAGGCAGCAATGTAATTTTCTTGTCCTTATGTATGATAGTGTATGTATTAGTTCTACCATGGTGTAAAGCATCATTATCAAATTCCCATGGTCGACCTAACAAAATGGAACAAGCTTGCATAGGGACAACATCAAAATCAGCAGTATCATGATAAGAGCCTGTGAAAAAACTAATGCGTGCTGATTTAGTTACCTTAGTCTTACCACTATTATTGAACCATTGAAGTTTATATAGATACGAATGTTGTCGTGTGGTCAAGCCAAGCTTGTCAACCAAATCTGAACTCACCAAGTTGTTGCAACTCCCGCCATCAATGATAGTGAGAACACGACAACCCTGCACAATGAGATACATGTGGAACAAATTGTGGCGTTGGATCTTCATCTCTTCTTCATGTCCCACACGTGTACTCAACACACGCTGTACGAGAAGGCTAGGATAGTCCGCGGCAGCAGCCACAGAGTCAATGATGATGGCCTCCTTGTCTTGATCGCCCTCGGTGGGATCTGCATCAATGTTAGCAGCAAGGGATGATGAGGACATCGCCACGCTGGACACACCGACGCCATGGTCTTCCCCAAGTTGCAATTCGTTTCCAACTCAGCTGCCACGTCACCCTCGGATTCAGCAGACACGTCGTCACTGTTTCGGTCATAACTTCCTCATACGACGTCGAAACGGGCCGTTCTTGGATGCGTTGGAAAGGGGACGACGACGCCGTCGTTTTGGATCTGGTCCCAGCTCCAGAAGGTCTGTGGATCATTCTGTGTGACCACGGCAAGGTGCTGCGTCACCTATTTGGGCCAACTTGGCCATGTATCGTGTCGGGCCTTAAGCCCAAGTTGTGGGCGCCCAACCCCTGGCCGTCCCCAACCCTAGGTCGAGTCTTAGACTATAAACACAGCCGTCACCGCTGCTACACAATGGGGTTTTTGTTTAGAGTTTAGTTTTCCATCGAGAAACTGAATCGTTCATTGTAACTGTGGTGACAAATCCTTTTGACAAAGATCCAGGGCCCCGCTCCTCGATCTCCTCCATCGTGTCGATTAGTCCTTTGGAACCGAGTTCTTGAACCCTCTATTGATATTCGCGTCATTCATATTTGCAATATCGAGTTGCGTGTTTTACCTTCTTGCTTGTGCTCTTGATTCGCTTGCGGGAAAAGCCTTCTTGGCGAGGTCAATCAAGTTGTGCTTGGTTGATAACCAACGGAGCAATGGTGTAGCGCTGCGAGGTTCAATCGCGTCGATTTGAAGCCGGATCGCCAACGTCGAGATCTCCACATATCGAACTTACTGCTACCTCTCGGAAGATCGGGCCTGTACCCATCAATTGGTATCGAGATATTTCAGTTTTACGCGAGGTATAATCTCGTTTGTCTTAGATTCATATTTGTTCATTACCTAGAGTCCACAAAAAGCCCAAAAATATTTCAATTTCCGCTGTCCTATCGCCCTTTGTGCCTTTGCAATTTCGTTTTGATTTCGTGTTGTTGAGTTTGTGTCCGTGGTCGAGTCTTGTTGCTTTGGTTTAGGATTGTGTTCGTGGTCGTAGTTCAATCGCCTGCTGTTTGTGATTTTTGTTTTCCGCCGCTATCCCATCCACCGTTCCCAAACAACAAGTCGAAGCCACCACATTACTCGACTTGCCCCGCTAGCAGCGCCTTGTGTAACTTCTCGCCTTGCAAGAAGCCCTAGATAGGTTGCCACCGCTTTTATTTTGCTCGCATCGCAGCCCTCCTTACATCATCGGCGAATACCTACTGCTGTGTGATCGGTGTTAGAGTTTAGGGGCGCTTTGCCCTAACTGCCGACGCCGTGTTGTGCCTCCCGAAAAAAACATACCTTGAGATACCTTCGGTAAAAGCAGACATAACTTTTTTATCGTTTATCGAAAAATCTGAAATTTTTTCAGCAGATTCTTGACACCATTTGGACCCGACCCAAACTCGGCTTCGCCCTGTTTGGTTTCGTCAAAATTGCCAAAAAATTCAGGAAAATAAAGAAAAAAAATTGTCAAAGTTTTTGCACGCTTTTCGAGAGAACGTCTTTGAATTCAGAGACCACATCCCACCTCGGTTGTAGGTGCCAATTTTGTGGTTGCATCTTTTGTGATCCTTGTTCGGAGAAAAGTATAAAAAAATTAGTGAAAAAATAAAAAAAGTTTGTTTCCTACTACCGCCTTTTGGAAAAATCCGGAAAAAAGGAGAAATCCGGGCTATTTGCTTGTTCTGTGAGTTCTTTCGATCGTCCTTTGTTTTCACCTTGTTGCGCTTACGTCTCGACACGTCCTAGCCAAACACTGTGACTTGTACTTTGGATCCAGATTGAACAATCGCTACTCTTGCACTCGTTAATTGCTAATCCTTGCTTTCATATTGTGTGCCTACCCATAGCTCCACATATTCTTCATCGGACAGTTCATCTTACAATCTGCTACTTACGCTCCACAACAGATTGCTTCACCACTTTGGTTTTGCTCCTGTTTGGCGTTGGTAAGAATACAGGCAAGACGGTGGTAAACCGCTTGTGATTTTGCATTCCACTTTCACCACCACCACCACTTGTTTCCTTTTAGTTGATAGGGATAATACTTTGGTGTTGTCTTTTTTATCTTCTAACCATGGCGGGGAACTCCGACGGACTTCAATGAGTGCGTGTCCAAGGGCGAGCTTGCAACGTTCATGACCGAACAACGCAATCTTATGACCGAGCTGACGCGCAACGTGAACAATCTGGTCAACCGCATTGAACAGATTGAGCAACGCCCTCCGCCTTATCATGCTGATGATGAAGATGCGGATGCTTTTGGTGATGAAGATGCGTATGCTGACGGTGGTGCCCGTCGCCGCCTCAACTTCAATCGTCGCGGCATGGGAGGTAATAATCATGGTAATAATGATCCTTTTGCTAAAATTAAATTTAGTCTACCTCCTTTTGCTGGTAATGTTGATCCAGAGGCATATTTAGATTGGGAGCTTGCTGTTCAACAAAAATTTGATTCTCATAATGTTCCTCCCGAGCATAGAGTTAGACTTGCTACTAGTGAGTTTACTAATTTTGCTTTGTTCGGTGGAGTGATCTTTGCAATGCTAATAATCTCATTCTTTGTGCCTCAAACTTGGAATGTTTTAAAGCAACGTATGAAATCTCGTTTTGTTCCTCCTTATTACCAACGTGATTTACGTTTGAAACTACAAACTTTAAAACAAGGTGATAAAGGAGTAGAAGCATACTATCAAGAATTGCTTATTGGTTTAGCACGTTGTGGTATAAATGAAGATGATGCTGATGCTAGTGCTAGATTTTTTGGTGGTTTAAACCATGATATACAGAACATACTTGATTACAAAGAATGGCGCAATTTTTCCCAATTGTATCATCTTGCTATTAAGGCAGAACGAGAAGTACAGGGACGCAAACAACACCAGCCTTTCAGGTCTCACAATGGGAGGAATTTTCAGCAGCGTTCCGAGCGAGAGACGACCAAGCTTCTGTTGCACCACATCCATCTACACCTCCATTTTCTTCTACGGGGTAAGTAAATTGTCTAATGTGCGCTTTCCACACCAAGAAAGGTGCCACTCCGGGTGCTACTAGCTCCTCCTCGTCCAGCTCTAAAATCATTTGCCACCGATGCAAAGGCATGGGACATGTCATGAAGGATTGCCCCGGTCGTCGGCGCTTTCATTGCTACCGAGGATGGATATGTAAGTGCTAGTGATGTTGAAGATGATTTAGCCCTTGCTTGCTAACATTGATGCATATCCCACCGAGGGCGATCAAGACAAGGAGGCCATCATCATTGACTCTGTGGCTGCTTTGCCATGACTATCCTAGCCTTCTCGTGCACGGCGTGTGTTGAGTACACGTGTGGGACATGAAGAAGAGATGAAGATCCAACGCCACAATTTGTTCCACATGTATCTCATTGTGCGGGGTTGTCGTGTTCTCACTATCATTGATGGCGGAGTTGCAACAACTTGGTGAGTTCAGATTTGGTTGACAAGCTTGGCTTGACCACACGACAACATTCGTATCCATATAAACTTCAATGGTTCAATAATAGTGGTAAGACTAAGGTAACTAAATCAAAGACGCATTAGTTTTTTCACGGTGCTCTTATCATGATATCTGCTGATTTTGATGTTGTCCCTATGCAAGCTTGTTCCATTTTGTTAGGTCGACCATGGGAATTTGATAATGATGCTTTACACCATGGTAGAACTAATACATACACTATCATACATAAGGACAAGAAAATTACATTGCTGCCTTTGTCTCCTACGGATATTATTAAACATGCTAATGAGATCAAAAATAAACCTCCAACAGACATTGCTAAAAATAATGGGATTAAGTTAAAAGGAGGTGCTTTTCTTGCTACAACTCCTGCTTTCTTCGCTGAGTTATGTCATAATCCGATGCACCATGTTATACTATGTTTTGTCAACCTTTTATATACGGTGCATTGCCTGCTTGTCACTAATCTTTTGCGGGAGTTCGTGATGATGATGGGATGGAGTCGAGGACGACTCCAATTCTACAAGGAGGGATGATGAGGACATCGCCAAGATGGAGTCGAGGACGACTCCAATTCGAGAAGGGAGGATGATGAGGACATCGCCACGCTGGACACACCGACGCCATGGTCTTCCCCAAGTTGCAATTCGTTTCCAACTCAGCGCCACGTCACCCTCGGATTCAGCGGACACGTCGTCACTGTTTCGGTCATAACTTCCTCATACGACGTCGAAAACGGGCCGTTCTTGGATGCGTTGGAAGGGGACGACGACGCGCCGTCGTTTTGGATCTGGTCCCAGCTCCAGAAGGTCTGTGGATCATTCTGTGTGACCACGGCAAGGTGCTGCGTCACCTATTTGGGCCAACTTGGCCATGTATCGTGTCGGGCCTTAAGCCCAAGTTGTGGGCGCCCAACCCCGGCCGTCCCCAACCCTAGGTCGAGTCTTAGACTATAAACACAGCCGTCACCGCTGCTACACAATTGGGTTTTTGTTTAGAGTTTAGTTTTCCATCGAGCCCAATCGTTCATTGTAACTGTGGTGACAAATCCTTTTACATGATCCGGGCCCCGTTCTGATCTCCTCCATCGTGGTCGATTAGTCCTTTGGAACCGAGTTCTTGAACCCTCTATTGATATTCGCGTCATTCATATTTGCAATATCGATTATGTGTTTTACCTTCTTGCTTGTGCTCTTGATTAAACTTGCGGGAAAAGCCTTCTTGGCGAGGTCAATCAAGTTGTGCTTGGTTGATAACCAACGGAGCAGTGGTGTAACGGTTGCAGGGTTCGAATCGCGTCTGATTTGAAGCCGGATCGCCAACGTCGAGATCTCCACATATCGAACTTACCGGCTACCTCTCGGAAGATCGGGCCTGTACCCATCAATTGGTATCAGATATTTCCCGGCAATGGAACCAGATGAGGACATCATTGGCTCAAATATGACCATGCCAACCACTTCTATACCAAAGGTGCAACCATTCTACATGAGGCTTATCATTGATGCATTTGATGAATTGGTGCTCCACCATAAAATGTGTATATTTTTATTTTCAGAATTACTTACATGGATCAAGGGAAGGTTTGATTGCATATGGAAAGCATGGAAAGTTAATGAAGTTGATTGGGGACCAAATCCAAGTATTCCCAACGTCCTCCACCTGGACACCACGTCACTTTTGGTCCAAGGAAAGAAAGAGATCAAATCCAACACGTTTTGGGGCTGGATTCGGACTCCAGGACAGCTCCAACTTGTGATGTTCACCACGGTCGCATACGGACTCGGATTGAGGCGTTCAAGTACTTCATGGAATCCTTATGAAGTCTATTTTCACATGGATCTGGAATCAAGTCCATATCTGTTCTGAGGCCGCCGCAATGACCGAATTACTACCGAGAGGTTTTCTGTTCAAAGGTGCTGCGTCGCCTTAGTTTGGTCCAATGGGCCGTGTATCAAGTTGGGTCCATTAGGGACGCATCCTAGGGTTGGAGCACGACCCCAACACCCTGGTGGTCGTCCTTCCACCTTCATATACCCCTTAGCCGCCACCAAGAACAATTGGGTTTTGTTTTGTTGAAAGTTTAGCCATTGCTACTTCCTTGTAGACGCGTGTGTCGACTAGACCATCCGTTCTACTTGATTCAGAACCCCAACTTTGTGATTTCAGATTGGTTTTCATCACCATATTTGCAATTGAGTTGCTTGTTCTACTTGTTCTTGCTTGTTCCTCGATTGCTTGCAGGAATTACCCTAGTGGTTTGGTTGATCGCGCTCCACAAGATCGCGGCAGCTGTTGGAGGTGGTGTATCGGTTGCTAAGGTGCAGCTTGGAAGGCTGTAGTCGGGCCGTGAACGTCGTCTCCACCCATCAATCGAGTTATCCCACACCTCTCATCGAAAGATCGGAAACAAACCCTAGCGGGATCATATCAGTAACTTGATACATGGGTCATCGGCCCAAAATAGGAGAGTGCAAGAACTGGCAAACTTTATTCACCGAGAAGGAGATGTCAGGTCTCGTGAGGGTGAGATATTGTAAAGCTCCAACTAGACTTACATACCTCGTGAGAGTCATCCGAACTCGAGTTGTTCCGTCTGTAGCACCGAGTTTTTTTCGGAACCTGACTAATGGAGTTTCAATTTGCCTTGCACTTGGTCATCCCAAATTTGCAATGCAGATCAGTCACACATACCGTTTCGGGACATCACGAGCCCATTACCGCATCATTGTACTTCTATCCCGAAAATAGTGCAGTTTGCCAAGATCTTTCAAAGCAAACTCCTTAGCAAGATCATGCGTAAGTGCATTTGTTGCTTTTTCCGACGAGCTCGCCACAATAATATCATCCACATAGATCAACACAAACATAACATAACCATTTTGTTGTAGTAAAACAAAGAGAGGTATCACCTTTGGATGGGGTGAAGCCAAGCTGAATCAATTTGTTGCACAAACGAGCATACCAAGCCCGAGGGGCTGTTTGAGTCCATAAATAGCCTTATCAAGCTTGCACACATAGGTGGGGTGCTTGCTATCTTTGTAACCGGAGGTTGATGCATGAAGACTTCTTCCTCTAGAATCCCATGCAAGAATGCATTCTGTACATCAAGTTGACGAAGGGACCAATCTTTTGACACTTTGCAAGGGACAATATGAGTCCGATGGTGGTGCCTTTGACAACCGGACTAAAAGTGTCCTCATAATCTATGCCATATTGCTTGCTTGAAGCCTTTAGCAACGAGCCGAGCTTTATATCGATCTATAGTGCCATCTGCTTTCCTCTTGGTCTTGTACACCCATTTGCACCCGATTATGTTTTTATCTTTTGGTGGTGGCACCAAATCCTGTGTTTGATTGCTCATCAAGGCGAGAATACTCCTTGTTCATCGCTTCTACCCATCTTGAATCGCGAAATGCCTCTTGAGCCGTGGATGGTTCATCATTATCTGCACCAACCGTACCAACCATGCCATAGCGAACAGTACCATCGATTCGTATTTTTTTGTTGAGTTATACCTTCTTGAAGACGTGTGACCGCCGCCGACGAGCTGCTTTGGTTGGTTGTCTCGTGTTGGTGGAGACAAAGCACCTTGAAGCACGTAAGTATGCGGCACGAGGATCCCGACGCGGGGACAAGGAGACATCGCCGATTTGGTGACGATCCCGAGGTTGATGGCGTTGCGATTTACTGCGGAGGTGACGATCCCGAGGTTGATGGCGTTGCGTTTCATGACGGCGCCGGCGGATCAAGCTCGGAACTCGCGCCATTCCCAATCGTTGTCTTGCGCCGAGTGCATGAAATATGGATTATATGACTCATTTTGCACCGGATTTTCTTGAGAATCGATCCTCAGTAACATCATGAGACCTCGGAAGAACTAGGCACGATGTTAGTAGCACCATTAGTAGTCGGTACGTTAATCAACGTATGATCATGTATTCGTGCATCCCCAAAAGCTGAGTCTGGATTTTTTAAAATATCTGGAAGAAGGGATAGTTCCGCTCGAAGACGAGCTCCTGCATTGGGATGCAATTGGGAGAATGGAAAAATAGTTTCATCAAAGACAACATCACGGGATATGTAAATTCTCCCTTGAGATGGATCAAGACATTTGAATCCTTTATGCAAATTACTATACCCTAGAAAGACACATCTCTTGGATCTAAACTGAAGTTTCCTAGAGTTATAGGGTCGTAAGTTTGGCCACACAAAGACAACCAAAATTCTTAGGAATGTGTATTCAAAAAGCCGAAGCCCATATAAGCGCTCATAGGGTGTTTGATCCTGAAGAACTTTGGATGGAATCCTATTTATCAAGAACACCGCAGTGAGAAAAGATTCATCCCAAAGATTTAAGTGGCATAGATGCATGTGCTAGAATGGATAGGCCGACTTGACAATGTGTCGGTGTTTACGCTCAATGGACCCATTTTGTTGATGGGCGTGAGGGCGGAAACATGATGAGAAATCCCAAAGGCGCTTGAAGAAGGTGTTGAGAGTCCGATACTCACCACCCCAATCAGATTGCACGGCTAGAATTTTGCAATTAAATTGTCGTTCTACCATGCTTTGGAAGTCTTTAAAACATTGAAAAACCTCGGACTTATAACGTAATAGATAAATCCAAGTGTATTTGCTTGAAATCATCTATAAAGCTCACATAGTAATTATGCCGCCAACAGAGGTAGGTGCCATCCCCAAACATCGAGAGAAAACAAGTTGAAAAGGACTCGAGGAAACACCGGATGACTTGGGATAGGGTAGTTGATGACTCTTACCCATCGACAAGCATCACGGATCTACATTATTTTTGGACTCTTTGACAAAAGGTAAATTATGGTGGCTAAGGACTTGCTTTGGACAGCATGTGACGAAAGCATGACCTAGCCTAGAATGCCAAACTGAAGTGGTAGGTTTGAAGACGCCAAGAGCTTCTTTATTCTGGATGGGCTTTAATGGATAGAGTCCGCGTTCACATGGACCGCTGAAGAGAGTATTCCTCGTTGCCTGTTCCTTAATGACAAAATGATTTGGATGAAATTCAATGAAAGCATGATTATCACGTGCAAGACGATTCACAGAAAGTAAATTCTTGCTAGAATTGGGAACATGAAGAATATTGTTCAAATGAAGATTGCTGTTCGGGGTTTGCAAAATACTATGACCAACGTGATTAATAGCCATACCTGAGCCGTTGGCGGTATGAACTTGATCGTTTCCTTGATACCGATCCCTCACAGTGAGCTTGTCGAGTTCACTGGTGATATGATCCGTGGCTCCTGAGTCCACGTACCAATTGGTGTCAACCCCATACGATGTATTGGTTGCAGAGTTGGCACTCTTCTGAGGAGGAGGACCGGTGACATTGGAGTCAAACCGTTTGTAGCAGCGAAACGCCTGATGCCCCTCAATGCCACAGATCTGGCAGATGACACCTGCTTGGAAATTGCGCCCCCTTCCACGGCCGCCATTACGACCGCGTCCAGGACCGCCTCGGCCACCTCCACCGCGACCAAAGCCGCCACTCTTGTTGGCGACGCCACTGCCACGACCTCCCTTGGCAGCAAGGTTGGCAGATGAGTGCGTGCCACCATCACGAATCTCGCGCCTTTGTTCATGGGTCACCAGTTGAGCCTGAACCTCATACAGAGAGATTGGATCTGTCCGGTTTGATACACTTGTCACGACCGGATCAAACTCTTCTCCAAGCCCCATAAGAATATATGAGACGAGTTCATCATCTTCGAGTCTCTTCCCCGCCGATGCCATCTCATCAGCGAGGCCCTTCATCTTTGTGAAGTATTCTGCCACCGTGGAGGAGCCCTTTTGGGCGGTGGCGAGAGCCATCCTGGTGGCCATGATTCTTGCACGGGATCGGGACGCCTGCAACTCTTGGATCGCAGTCCAGAGTTCCGCAGCCGTCGATGAACTTGCAACTTGAGAGAACACATCCTTTGACAAAGATGCGAAGAGGTAGCTTCGGACTTGACTGTCCTTGGCAAACCAGTCATCATATGCCGGATTAGGAATAGGTTCCGCCTTCTTGCCGTCATCATCAGCGGCAGTCGTGGCGAGGAACTCCTCCGGCGACTTGGACGAGGGCTGGGTGAAACGCCAGAGGCGCGCGCCCTGCAGAGTGGATGTGACTTGGGCCAGCCACATGGCATGGTTGCCCCGAGTTAACTTCTCGGTCACCGGCGGGAGAAATTGGAAGGGAAAATCGCCATTGGCGGCGGCGGCGGAGGTGGTGGCCATCGGATGAATTCAGGGTGGGTGGATCTATTCCGTTGGGAATTGTTAGGCTCTAGATACCATATTAGAATTGGTTAAATGAGATAACCTCTCGGTATCTCGGCTACGTGTTATATAGACAAGGAAGAGCCCCTTGCGTGGCTTACAATAGTCAGGTGATTTGTGGTTACAACCAATCCTCCACAAATCACTCTCAATCACATATACATTCCTATAACTGTGGTACAATGTACCTAGACTATCACATACTCTAATAGTCCTGCCCGAACGCCTCGCACGCGCTCCGGCACGCCACCGTGCCGCCGCCGCAGTCCACCTGCAGCTCCCTGGGGCACGCTGTCACACACACACGACACACAAAGCTTCACGCGTCATCAGAGCAGCCAAGACTAGCAGGTAGTAGTTAGCACACGCCACACGACATGCATGGGCGCGCGCACACGTCACGCGGAAGGAACGTACAGCGGTTGAGGTCGGCCATGCAGCCGGTGGCGTTGCACCCGCCGCCGGCGCCCGGCCGAGCCCGCGGGACGGCGACGACGGGCAGGTTGTACCCGTCAACGAGGCTGACGTCGTAGTAGTCCAGGTCGGCGGCGCCCGCGGTCCCCTTCCCCAGCGTGACCTCGAACAGCGTCGCGGGCGGTGTCGCGCCGGTGCCGGCACACTCTAGGCGCCCGCTGCAGTCGCCCGTCTGGCACGCGCCCCTGCCGTCCGCGTCGAACACGCAGCCCGTGCGCGCCCATAGCCGGCCGGACCACCCCGTCGGTGCCGGGACCTGCACGCTCTGCCCCGGGTCGAGCCTGAACCCCGTCGTCGGCAGCTGCGGCGTGCCCGCGCCGGCGAGCGTCCCCGGCCATATGGGCTGGGAGCAGTAGTTGGATACGGTGAAGGTGGAGCTCGTCATTGCGGTGACGCACCAGTGGGCCAGTGCTAGCACGACGATCAGCGAGTATGGTGAATTGCAGCCTCTTGATGCTTCTTCCATGGTGTGATGCTGGTCTTGAAGCACTATTGATGGCTACGAAATCACGTACGTTCTTGATGGCATTCAGCAGAACTGAGAAGAGATTTGGGACGTGGTTGCGGGCTTTAAAATGTTTTGGGTTGCAGGCGCCAAAGAAAAGGTTTCTTGGTGAGACCGCTTTAGCATTTCTTGAGCACTGGGTGGCCTCGGTGAGAAGAAATACCTTACTCCCTCCGGTTCTCTAAAGCAAGTCGTCTTAAGGTTGTCTTAAATCAAACATTTTAAACTTTGACTACAAATCACTTCTTTTGGGTTGAGTTTGAAAATATGAAAGTGATGTAAGTAGATTCATCTCGAAATGTAGTTTCATAAAAGTAAATATTGACTATATTTTATAAATATTTTATAGCAAAAAGTTACAGTCAAAGTCGTTTCTTAAAGACCATATCGATATCCATAACGATTTGCTTTAGAGAACCGGAGGGAGTATGTAACAATGCAAGGGATAAAAGTGAAATTGGGCTACTACTACTAGCTAGGCGTCTACTGATAGTACTTGTTAGTAGAGTGTATATACTTTCTTATCAATCTTGAACAATCCTCACGGCGTGTTTAGTTCCAGAAAGTTAGAATTTGGGGCTATCGTAGCATGTTCGTTTTTATTTGGCAATTAGTGTTCAAACATGGACTAATTAGGCTTAAAACGTCCGTCTCGTAATTTTCTACCAAACTGTGCAATTAGTTTTTTTTTCGTCTATATTTAATGCTTCATACACAGGCCGTAAACATTCGATGTGACAGGCACTGTAGCACTTTTTGGAATTTTGGGTGGAACTGAACACGCGCTCAGTGTGCACAACTAACTATATGACCTGAAGAGCTGTGATTCATGAATACAAAAAACCGGGCATTCAATCAGAATTAATTTGAGATGGCACTAGAATATTTTCCATTTATAGACTACTGAAAGAAACATTTCATTTGGGCCACAACATATGACTCACTGAACACTGCTTCCCGGTGGGTAAACTTGTATCGCGGCAGTAAGACCAAGACAAGAAAAGCATCAATCCCTCACATCCAATGGAAATGATTCTACTGCAAATAACTGAATCATGTCACTGGTATAAACAAACAAAAGAGGTATCTACACAAATGCCAGCTGCTACCATTGTTGATACCCCCCAAAAAAAGTTATCTTGCCTATCAGATTAGGTAAATACATTGCTTCTGATTGGGTATGATAAAAAAGTATAACCATCCACGAACAACTATCTTTATGCTTCAAAAAAACTAATCATGATGCAGATACCCACCTCGTATCTACCTCATAACAAAAGTAAGGGTCTCAAAATTGTCACATCCACACACTCAACATAAGCCTTGCTCAGCCGTCACTCCACCCCAGAAGAGGCCAGAACAAGGTCAACACAATCAAGAAAAAACATACAACTTTCAAAGTCCCATATACTTCTACAGCTTATGAATGAATAGTCAACAAAGATAAACTTCTGAATTTTCAGGTCCACACTCCACAGTGATATAGGGAAGAATATTGAAAGCAGTAAAATTTGGAGAATATTGAGAAGCAAACTTTGGATCATAAAGTAATCGTCTTGCTAGAAAAGTTCACATTGCGCAACAATAACAAGCTCCCAGTCCAATCTGAAGGGCATAAATGATAAAAGAAGCCCCTACCTTCCAAATTAATTATACTAAAGGATAAAACTAACATGCCTCATTCATGCCACCTCTTCGATAGGGGCTCCATTTTCACTGTGCGGAGTATTAGTACTAGGATCATCAACAATTGTTAGGCCTTCAATGTCCAAAGGGCGTCTAGTCATTGGATCAATAGGATGTCTATCGCGAGGCCCACCCTTGTGGGCCATAGCTAGCACCGGAGGTGGAGGTAGAATTCCTGCACGAAAGAGTATGCGCTCCACAGGATCTGATGGCTGTGCACCAATTGACAGCCAATATCTGCAGCAAGATGACAGTTATGAGAGTGCCAATATCTTGTAGCCTCATTTAGTTTTTCAAGACACTGCTTATTCTAAATCATGGTCATGCATCTGGATTCTGCACATATACATGTTCTACGGATGAGCGCTCTCTACAGTAAAAAAAGTAGGCTTGTTTTGATACACTCTAACTAGTCACAGGTACCACAATAATAGAAATCCACCACAAAACTAGCTGCCTATAGAGGGACACCATGGAGAGGGTTATTTGTGGCAAGGTTTTTAATTTCGGTATTGCCAAAATTTCGGCCACCACCGAAATTACCGAATTTCGCGAAATTCGGCCGAAATTTCGCCGATTTTTTTTTTTAGAGATTAGCACATGAAGTATGTTTTTTCTAAAAAAAATTGGATCTAAACAAATATTAGCATGATTTATGACTACATATCTATTAAATAGAAGAATATGCAATATAAACAATAGAAAAAATATAAGATTAGAGTTATATAGCACATGTATTAGTGTATTAAAAAATTTCGGAGTTTTCTTTCGGCCACCACCGAAATTACCGAATTTCGTGAAATTCGGCCGAAATTTCGCCGAAATTTTGAACCCTGATTTGTGGTCAATATTGTTAGATATATATGGTGTATAGCATATTTTCCTCTTTGTATAAGGGCTTAGATGCATATATGCCCAACTCATGTACATGTTTGGGCCGTCGCCCCCAGGAATAGAGTGAGCTTCATTCCTTCTAACATGGTACCAGAGCCTAGGGTCTAGGGTTTACCTCGCTCCCTCGCGCGCTCTTCCCGTTGCGCTTGCCTGGAGCTCCGTCGCCCGTCGGCTCTCTCCCTCGCGTGCTCTTCCCTGCAGCGCTCCAGTGGCTGGCGTGGCCCGCCCGTCACGCACTCTCTCGCGACCGGGCGCGGTCCCGCCATCGCTGGCGCCTTCTCTGCGCCGGCGCGCCCCGCCGTCGAACTTCCTCCGTTCCTCACGCCGCCTTGCTCCGCTCTTTCATGCTGCTGCTGATTCTCCTCTGCAAGGCTCATCTCTCGTGCCCTCTCGCATCCTCTGTTTTTCGCTCGCTCTTTCGCTTTCGCCGACGCTGCGGCGCGGCGCCCGCCACGGTGGTGTGTCATGCGCCGCGAAGCTTGCGCACAGCGCGCGAAGCTGCGACGCGTCGAGATCCACGTCGCCAACAAGCTCACCAAGAAGCACCAGCGCCTCCCGCTCGAGGCTCTCTCGCCAGAGCTCCAGCAGCTGCGACGTCGGCCAGAGAAAGCGGCGTTCATCTTCTGCGTGGAGGACCGGGCGCTCTCTCGCCGAGCTCGCGACGAGCCCATCCACGTCCCGCACGCTCTCTCGGAACCACCAGCGCTACTGCCACCACCGGCATCCGCATAGGCTTCACCTCCGCCTCCTTCTGCTTTGCTCTGCTATGCTAAATCCACCTCTGCTGCTCTCTCTGCTCTGCTCTGCTCTGCCGTCCGTTCGGCTGCTGCTATTTTTCTGCTTTTCTAAAGAAAGATGGCATCTCCTCCTATTCCTCCCTCTGGAGGCGCGCAAATCCCGCGTTGTCCAGTGATTTTCGATGGCACCAATTATCATGATCGGGTTCCACATATGCGGTGGCATATCGTGGTCTCCGACTCTGGGAGTTTCTTAGTGGTGAGCTACCTTGTCCAAAGATTGCTCGATCGTCCGGTCGCGGTGGGTGATTCCTCCGTAAAATTCTCGAGAGGAACAAAAGAAGTTCTTGCCAAGCTTATGATGATGATATGGCCTCTTACATGTCTCATTTTGGGCTTATCGGACTTGGTTGGATGAAGATGCTCGTCTTTGGGGCTGTTCTTGTTGCTAGTATGGAAAAGCATCTGGCGGGAGAGGTTATTCGGCTTGATCATCTTTGCTTTCGGATGTGGGTTGTTCTTCGTCAGCCTATATGAGCCCTCCAATCCATCCACTTATATTGCCGCCCTACGTCCAAGAACAAGCTGCTGCAAAAGCGGGGTGACAGATTCGATTGAGGATTTCTTTCGACAATTATCTCGCAATATGGCGTGAGCTTGACACTCTTAGTCCCCAGCTTGTCCCGACACTTGTGACTCCTGCAGGAAGCAACAGAGCCACCTCAAGCTTCGTCGCACCTATGACTTCCTGACTCATCTGCGCGCTGAGTTTGAGCCCCTTTGTGCTCAATTACTTGCTCGTGAGCCGTGCGTGTCTTTGATGGAGGCTCTTGCTGCTGTTCGTAATGAGGAGACTCGCCTTCATTCTGCTGGTCTACTTCAGTCGACGTCCTCCTCAGTCCTGGCTGCTCGGTCTAGAATTCTTGGTTCTCCTCCCAAAGTGCCTGCTTCAGCAGCCTTTGGTGGCTCGGGGACTCGCAACTCAGGTGGCCTTCATTGTAAGCACTATGGCAGAGATGGACATGATGAGGATCATTGTTACAAGAAGAAGAGGCAGGCTCAGTCTCAGTCTCGCCGAGGTGGGCGTTCCTCACATGCCCAGTCTCAGCATCCTGATGCACAGCAGGAGATACTCATGTTACTTCATCATCTTGATGTTCCTCCATCTATTCCTCCACCTACTGGAGCCTCTGGTTCTGTCACTACTGGAGCTGCTGGTTCTGTCACTCCTGCCCCAGTACTCTCTGCTGCTACTTCTCAGTCTTTTATTGAGAGACCACCATCCACTTCAGGTATCTTGCCATGGATTCTTGGTTCTGGTGCTTCTTTTCATATGACACCTGATAGTACCTCTCTTTCTTCTATTTGCTCTCCTTCCATTCCTCTCACTGTTCAAACTGCTGATGGCTCATCTCTTTCGGTTGTTGGTCGGGGCACTCTTTCTTCTTCTTCATTTCATGTTCCTAATGTTTCTTATGTTCCTGATTTGACCATGCAACTTATTTCTGCTGGCCAGCTCACTGATCATGGTTGTCGTGTTATTTTTTATTCTGACACTTGCTGTGTACAGGATCTCAGCACGGGTCTCCTAGTTGGTACTGGCCCTCGCCGCCGTGATTCTCCGCATCTCTAGGAACTCGATTGGCTTCGTCTTCCTTCCGCTGCCTCTGCCGGTCTTGTGAGCTCTGCTTCTCCTGCATCGGCTTCTTCCTCTTTTGCTCAGTGGCATCATCGCCTGGGACATCTATGTGGTTCCCGCTTATCCGCTCTTGTCCGTCGTGGTGTTCTAGGAAATGTCTCTGGTGATGTTTCTTTAGATCAGTGTCAAGGCTGTAAGCTTGGCAAATAGATCAAGCTTCCATATCCCTCTAGTGGGTCTGTGTCACAGCGTCCTTTTGATCTTGTTCATTCAGATGTATGGGGTCCTGCACCTTTTGTTTCAAAAGGGGGTCATCAATATTATGTCATATTTATCGATGATTTCTCTCGCTTCACATGGGTGTATTTCATGAAACATCGTAATGAGGTGTTATCCATATATAAAACTTTTGCTTGGATGATTCACACTCATTTTGATGCTCCTATTCGTGTTTTTCGGGCTGACTCTGCCGGGGAATATCTTTCGGGTGCTCTTCGCCAATTTCTTTCTGAGCAAGGGACTCTCTCACAATTTTCTTGTCCTGGTGCGCACGCTCAGAATGGTGTTGCTGAGCATAAACATCGTCACCTTCTTGAAACTGCTCGTGCTCTTATGATTGTTTCCTCGGTCCCACCTCATTTCTGGGCTGAAGCAATCTCCACTGCCAGCTATTTAACCAACATTCAACCCTCATCTGCTCTTAAAGGTGGCATCCCATATGAGCGCCTTTTTGGACATCCACCTGATTACTCTAGTCTTCGCCTTTTTGGATGTCTGTGCTATGTTCTTCTTGCTCCTCGTGAACGCACTAAACTCACACATCAATATGTTGAGTGTGTTTTCTTAGGCTATAGTGCTGAGCACAAGGGCTATCGCTGTTGGGACCCGACTGCTCGTCGTATGCGGATCTCTCGGGACGTTACTTTTGATGAGTCTCGTTCCTTCTATCCTCGGCCCTCCTCTGATGTTTCTCCTCAGGCCGTTGTTGAGCCTTTGTCCTTCTTGACTTTTCCTGATACACCTATCTCCACTGTGCTTCTTCCTCCGTCACCATCTCCACCTCCTAAACCATCTTCACCTCCTCCACCTTCTCCTCTGCTGCCCTCTGAGTCGTCTTCACATGCTCCTCGGTCCATTTATGATTCCAAACCCCCTGTGATTCACACCTACAGTCATCGGCTCCTAGATTCCTCGCCTCTTGTTGAGTTGCCTTTTGATGTCTTCTCTCCTGCTGAGCCATCTTCGGTTGACGATTCTTTATCTCAGCCCTCCTCTCATTATAATCTTCACGATCATAGCTCGCTGAAGCCTCTTGATAGGTATGGTTTTGCTGGCACTGTCTTTTCTAAGCTGGCCACATACCATGATGCCATTTGTCATCCTGAATGGCAACTAGCCATGGCTGAGGAGATTGCTGCTCTTAAGCGCACTGGCACTTGGGGCCTTGTCCCTCTTCCTTCTCATGCTCATCCCATCACGTGCAAGTGGGTTTATAAGATCAAGACTCGCTCTGATGGCTCTCTCGAGCGTTATAAGGCTCGTCTTGTTGCTCGTGGTTTTCAGCAAGAGTATGGTTGTGATTATGATGAGACATTTGCTCCTGTGGCTCACATGACCACTGTTCGCATTCTCCTTGCTGTGGCCTCTGTTCGTGCTTGGTCCATTTCTCAACTTGATGTCAAAAATGCCTTCCTTAATGGTGAACTCCGTGAGGAGGTCTACATGCGACCACCTCCTGGGTATCTTGTTCCTGAGGGCATGGTTTGTCGTCTTCGTCGCTCTCTTTATGGTCTGAAACAAGCTCCTCGTGCTTGGTTTCAGCGCTTTGCCTCTGTGATCATTGCTGCTGGTTTTTTAGTTTCTTATGTCTGATCTTGGTCCTCTTCGTTATTTCCTTGGGATTGAGGTCTCTTCCACCTCTGATGGCATTTACTTATCCCAAGAAAAATATATTCAGGATCTTCTTGCTCGCTCTTGCCTCACTGATCATCGCATTGTTGAGACTCCCATCGAGCTTAATCTTCAGCTCCGTGCTACTGATGGTAAACCTCTCACCGATCCCACTCGGTATCGTCATATTGTTGGGAGTCTTGTCTATCTAGCTGTGACCCGTCCTGATATCTCATATGCTGTGCACATTCTTAGTCAATTTGTTTCTTCTCCCACCCATGTCCATTATAGCCATCTCCTTCGTGTCTTGCATTATCTTCGTGGGGCCATTACTCGTCGTCTGTTCTTCCCGCGTTCTAGCTCTTTTCAACTCCAAGCCTACTCTGATGCTACTTGGGCTAGTGACTCTGATCGTCACTCTCTTTCTACCTATTGTATTTTTCTTGGTGGCTCTCTCATTGCTTGGAAGACAAAGAAGCAGATCGCGGTCTCTCGTTCGAGTGCAGAGGCCGAGTTGCGAGCTATAGCTCTTGCGACAGCAGAGGTTACTTGGCTTCGATGGTTACTTGAGGATTTCCGTGTTTCAATTTCTATGCCCACTCCTCTTCTGTCTGACAGTACCAGTGCTATCAATATAGCTCGTGATCCTGTGAAGCATGAGCTCACCAAGCATATTGGAGTTGATGCATATTACACTCGGGCTCAGGTGCAGGATGATGTCATTGCTCTTCGCTATGTGCCCTCCGAGCTCCAGGTGGCTGATTTCTTCACCAAGTCGCAGACGCGAGTTCAACATCGTTTCTTTCTCTCCAAACTCAGTGTTTGTGATTCACCCTGAGTTTGAGGGGGGGGGTGTTAGATCTATATGGTGTATAGCATATTTTCCTCTTTGTATAAGGGCTTAGATGCATATATGCCCAACTCATGTACATGTTTGGGCCGTCGCCCCTAGGAATAGAGTGAGCTTCATTCCTTCTAACAAATATATCATCATTCGTGTTGAATAATGGGAACCAATACTAAAATTTTATAACATGTACTATATCTCTTGAAATGGATTATATATATACAAAATATAGTTTTCCATGTCATGCCTGTTATGCCTATGCACGGTAGAATAATGAGCCCATTTGGCACACAGTAATTTCATAGGAATCGTCTAGGAGCTTCACACAAATCAGTTCATTTCCATAGAAAATATACAGGAAACAAAAACCCCGCACTCCAAAGGGGGCAATTCACCTTATGCTATCATGCTCCACATATTATTGAGCACCAAGATACAAAGTTTAAATTGAAAATTGAGGTTAAATTTCCAAGCAGGGTTCTACCAGCTAATGTCAATTTGATAGTGTTTAAAGAGGGTACATGATTACATAACTACTCCCTGCATATACCCATTGGAGGATGCACAACATGTCAGGTGAAATGCACTATATAAATCATTTGACATATACTCACTTCACTTGGTCAAATTTTAAACCCATTCTCTTGCCACCATCCTTTCCTGTAAACAGCAACAAGACAAAGGACACTTTCATTACTCATCGTTGCAAGGATAAGCTAGTATTTGACTTCAACAGTAAAAAACAAGGAAACACCACAATTTCTAAAAAATATAAAATAAAGAGAAGAAACTCTACTCGCAGTACAACACCATGGAGCATACTCGGCTCATTTTAACAGTGCAGTTAAACTACTACTGGTACTAGAACTTCCTATGAGACAAAAACATCCTCAACCTCCATAAAAAACGCCACGAAATCGTCCAACCCGACCTCTGGAACAGGCACCAGATAATACAAGGAACGAACTGATGGGAGGCGCAATGAATCAGGCTCGGACGATACCGGGGATTGGGTTGTAGTATCCGAGGACCTCGAGGTGCTTGCCGTCGCGCGGGGAGCGGCTGTCGGCGGCCATCAGCCGGTAGAAGGGCCTGTTCCGGCAGCCGAACCGCGCCAGCCGGATCCGCACCACCATCTTCGCTCCCCCTTTGCCTTCCCCTTTGCGGAGCTGTTGGTACGACGCGATGCGACCGGTGGTAGAATAATGCTCCCCTTTTGTTTTTTTCTCCAAAACTAACACTTTTGGCCGCGTCTATTGCCATAGCGCGGCGAAACGCCTGTGCCGCGCCATGCATGGCGGCGCGACAGGAGTATGATGTGGCGTTGTCGTGGTAGGGTCTGCTGCGCCACCCATCTTGGCGCGGCTATGACGCGCCATCGCTGGTGGCGCGACAAGGCCCAATTAAAGCCCACGATGCCCCCACTACGCCCACCCTCGCCCTCGAACGCCGCCGCCGCCTGCGCCCCCGCCCGCCCAGCGCCGTCGCGCCGACTAGCAGCACCGCCGCCTCGCCTGCCAGCGCCACCTCCTCTCCTTCGACTCATATCAAGGTAGCTCCCTCTCTCGATTTCTTGTTATTATGAATGTTATTTTAGTTAAGGTTAGTGATTTAGTATAGTTAGGTTAGTGAATTTGTTTATTTAGGTAGATAGTTTTTAGGGTTTAGGTTGTGTGTTGTAGTATAGTTAAGGTTTGGTTAGTTAGTTAGGGTTTAGGTTACGGTTAGTTAGGCCTTTGGGTTTAGGGATTGATTAGGTATTTATTATTTAGTTAGTTTATAGTAGTAAAGGTTATCAGTATAGATACTAGTTTTTAAGTGTCGGTACTTAGTAGTGCGTGATACGGTGATTTGGAATGGTTTGATGAATCTCCTAGCTTCAATGACGTTTGTGTCCGTTTAAATACATAGAAGTTGCTTATTTTCCTAGTGAAGTTGTTTAATATGTCTATTAATGTTACTTTAAATATATACATGTGCTTTCATATTGTGTTCATATTGCATAACAAGTAGTTCAAATTTTACAATGCTATATAATGTTAATTTGAATACTCTAACCCTTTGTTTATCAATTTGTAACATGATGGTCTCTCCCACGCAGCACCCGTTGTACCCCCTTCTTGAGGTGGAGTACGACGAGCCACACTAAGCACACTTCTTAAGTGACACCGACGCAGGGGTGCCCTTGCCTCCTTTGAGGCCCCGCACGCACACCAAGGAGCACTAGTGGGATGAGCGTTACGCGCCGTACATACGGCGTGCCGGCTTCCTCGAGCTTGTCCGTGTTGTCAACTACGGTCTTCCGACCCTTGACCCAGCACTACTTACTGCAGCTGTAGACAGGTGCGAGTGCCTTCATTGTACGTAAACATTCTTATAACAAATTTGAGGCAACTAACAGTCGTTCTATTCTTATAACAGGTGGAGGCCTAGGACCCACACATTCCACCTACCTTGCGGTGAAATGACCTTGACCATGGACGTGAAGGCTATCTTTGGCCTTCGGTTGGGGGGACTTCCAGTGACAGGTATAGTTGACAACGATCACTGGAGAGAGCTGGTGGCTCAGTTCACTGGCTTTCTTCCACCGGACGATGAGGTTTTCAAGAAAAATAAGTGAGCAATTCAAGCCTATTTAATACTTGCATTGCTTTCCTGTAGCCATCGGGTCTTATTTTCTTTGGTGAATTTTAGGAAAAGTTCTGGTGTTTCGTCGTCGTGGATCACAGAGCGCTTTGATTACTTACACCCACAGGCTGATGAGGCTCAGATCGATAGATTCGCTAGAGTGTGGCTCTAGCACTTCCTTGGTGCTTTCCTCTTCCCAGATGTCTCGGGCAACACCATCAGCTGGATCTTCCTTGACATACTACGCTAGCCGTGGGATAACATAGCGGCGTACAGCTAGGGCAGCGCAGTACTGACATGGACGTATCGACAGCTATGCGTTGCCTGTCGTCGCACCTCAGGGTATGCAAACCTTGGGGGTTGCTCCTACCTACTCTAGGTTTGGTGTTGGGAACGATGGCCCGTTGGGAGGCCCCTTGCTACTAGTTTATCGGTAAGTACTTTGGTTCACTATATTCTTCGAGGCAGTTACATATGATTAAATTATTAATGGCTAATTCATTATTGTGTTCAATGCAGCATTGGAACGGGTAGGATACACTCCCTACAACTCTGTATATCTAGATGCAAACAGAGTTAGTTAGAGAGAATGCGAGACGCAAGTACAGGGAGTACACGGACGGTCTCGACGTCCTCACACAGCACCAGGTTACGCTCTCTTTACTATCATACATGTGTCTTATTCGATGTACACTATATCATAACCTAACTCAATTACAAAATGTTCAGGTGCATTGGTGTCCTTGGGATGCTCCGGAGCTCAAGTACTATCTGAGTCCTGTCACTAGGGATGAGTCAGACGAGTATCGCTACAACGTCCCTCTTATTTTCTTCCATGTGGTCGAGATTCACTTGCCCATCAGGGTTTGTAGGCATTTGGGAAGAATGACAGGCTACCCACCACTGCTTTACTCCACCAACCAAGAATTGCACGGGTGCATTATCGATTAATAACAAAGCTACAATTCAGAGGTGTGTATGTGTCGGTGCAGAAAGTGACCAACATGAAAATATTTATAGTTTTGCTGTACGTTGTGATCGGAGGTGGCCTAGCACTCAATAACATTGGGTTTATACTGGTTCAGGCAACGTGCCCTATGTCCAGTTTGAGTCAGTCGGTGACTTTATTCCTGAGCCCAGGTGCTCGAAGTTTGTTGTGGGGTTACAAATGAAAGGGAGAAAGATGGAGGGTATAAGAGGTTCGGTCGGACTCTTGTCTGAAGGGCTGAGAGTGACGGGATCCCCGCTATATGCTAGGTGTTCGAGCGTGTGCTAGGTATAACTTTAGAGTGTCTAAAGTGACAGAGGGTGAATCAATGTAAGTGAACTGATGGATCCTTTGTTGGGAGAGAACACATCCCCTTTTATAGATGAAGGGGATGGTCTTACAAGAGAGAGAGAGAGTGCGTATGTCAAGTCTTGTTGCCCACGCCGGCGGGTACAAGGTGTTTGCGGGCGCCCATAACACTATTAATGTTAGATGCACATGGACGATTGCGTCGTCTTCTTCTAGTCATAGCAAATGTCGGTGCCTGCTATACTGTTGATGCCCAGAGGCATATGAGGGATTTTACTGTGTTCGCCCGGTAAGGTAAACGTCGGCGCTCACAACACTGTTGGTGCCCAGAGGCATGTGGGGGAGCCTTACCGTGTTTGTCTGGTACGGGAGTTGACAGCGCCCACATCACTATAGGGCAAATGTCGACGCCCACAATATTGCTTGGGCTCTGATATGCCAGGAAGGTTGCATGGTACCTTTCTGACATGCCCTGTTGGTACTATTCTACAGGTGTACAGAGTACGTTCCTTAGTTTTGTGGTTGACTCGATTGTCCTGCCTTACTTGCTCTATCCGTTTCCTGGTCCTTACCGGGCGAGCGTCCCCGGTCAGTTGGTCCCAGTCGGCTCTGATTGCGCCAGTTGGAGAGGAGCTATAAGCAGGGGTTCGACGCATCCCCCGGTCGAAGACACGGGTCATAGTCGGAAGTGGTTTTTGGCCAGGCCTTCTGGTCGGAGAGCCCGTCCAGAGGTGGGCTAGAGTCGGAAGCGAGCGATGTTCTTCCGGTCAGAGAGACGGGCCGAAGTCGGAAGCGGGCGCCGTTCCTCCTCGGCCAGGCCTTCTAGTTGGAGATTTTGGATGGCCCTTCCAGCCTGTCGTTTAGGTTTTTGGGCCGGCCCAGGAGTTGTGCGTCATTCGCAATGTCACCTGCTGGGCTGAGCCTTTGCTGGAAAGCCGGTCCATGAGGGACCCCAGGTTTATGAACCCAATAGGAGTCCCCGAGCCCCCGGGCGATTCGGGTAGAATTGTCTGGGGGGGGGGTTTTGTGTTGCTAGGGGGAAGTTTTCGTTTTGTCAGTGGGTGCG